TTTATTTTTTATAATTTTGTTATTGTTTGTTTTATAATTTTGTTTTGTTGATGTAATCGCTATCTATGCGAACTCTTTCTCTCGTCACCTTGTTGCTTGGACGATATCACTATCACTGCTATCAAAACGATAGACTAACGGTAGAAGAAAACCTTTGTGGCGGACCAGACATAAAAAGACACGTCCTCCAACAGCGGGGTGTACAGATGCCTTTTTCGGGTTTTCCCGACGCAAGGCGTACACACCGCAATAAAACAATAAAAACGTTGGGACACAGCTTCGGACCATAGGTCCCGGATCACCCCGGTCGGAAAATCTTCGGGAAAGGCCTTCGCCCTTCCCAAGGACTTTCCCTTACCAATTTCAATACGTTCTCCCCAATAAATACGAGGACCTCTCGACCGGGAGACGTCAGTTAGCAAGTTTTCCTCCGACTCTCAACGTGTTCATATTTCTGTCTCATCCGTCACTCGTTTACCTTTACCTTCTACACACTGTACCTCATCGCCTTTTGTTACAAGTTATATTAAAGTTCTCGTTATATAAAAACCAAAAAAAACTCTCTCGGATTATTTTATATAAACCGTCGCAGTAACCCCTGCGACAAAGTAGCATAGTAGCAAGTAGTATAGTAGCAAACAAAAATGTTTATATCTCAGAAACGGTTGATCTTTCGACCTATGTTTACTACAGCTTTTTTACTCAGTACAATGTATATATCCTATGTACCATATAAATATTGAATGATCTGTGGCGTCGCATCCCTCTACCTGAGCGCGGCCGCTAGCAATAAAACAAGTACCGTTCCTAATCCTCAAAATTCCCTAAAAATCACGCACCCCTAATAAAACAATTCTCCTCACATCTGGACACCTCGACCCGCACGGGACTTTCCCAACTTTCTCTTTTCCTACGAAAGTCCATCTATTCCTTTCTTCTCTTCCACTATAAAAGAGACAAACGCGCAACTCCAAAAGCTCAGTCTGTCCTAAGTTGCTAGTCCTACGACGTCACGCTAGTCGCGCCCGCGCTCATCGATAGCAATTCAATAAACTGCATTAATAGTAACCTTAAACACGCTCTCCGATTCGCTTACCTTCCCTTCAGTGCTAAAGATCTTTAACCGTTTAACTTTTGCAAGACATGCCAGCCACTCTTACTGCTCGATAGATTTAGTTAGAAGCGAGTGATTATTTTGTTGTTAATGCTCTGTAATTTCTTAAGATTTCTCTTATTCAACCGCACCATCCGTTCGACAAAAAGACTATCCTGAAGTCACTATAGTCATAGCAATCGGGGAGAAACTGGAGCGTTCCTTCAAAGACGTCGATACTCTTGAATGATAAATCCACAAGATCCGCAAGCCAACTAATCGCATCAAGAAGTTTTCATAGAATTACTCTCCACGCTTTGTGCCCCCGGAGCGCCTGAGAAAAAAGAAGTTCATCCCGCTCGATAACGTTTAAGCGAATGTCCGAGCGAAATCAGTTTTACCGAGAAGTTTGATCCTGTCGAAAGTAATCTTCGGAAAGAACTTCGTTTGCCGGGAGTCTCGTCTCCGCGGGCGGAACGCGATTACGGATAATTTTCTTGCTCCGGTGTAAATAAATAGACAGGCAAGTTTCTCGGTGCCGAGGCGCGGCTGATTTTTAATTTCCAACAGGGTTTGATTACATTTTCTCGTGGTTCGCGGGACTCCCGGAGCTTTCGGCGTCGCGGCCCGACGCGAATATACACTTCGTCAAAACGGATTCGCAAGTTTCGTTGGGAAATTTTCTTATTAGACCTTGATAATCTGCTCCGGTCGGAGGAAATTAATTTGCGAGGGGTTCGAAACTTCTGAAAGGAGCGCCGTCGGTTGTGGGAGGAGACGAAGGGACGAAAACGGTGGGTACAAAATTCACTGAACACGTACAACATGTATTTCGAACGTTGTTAAGCGTTCAATCGCCGGCTCGTCCTGCGTTCCTTTATTTTCCGTTTTTTTTTATCCTAGCAAAAGAAGAGGCTTACTTAGATAGAGACATAGGTAGCGTTTAAATCGTTTAGTTTCCTTAATTTCGATTTTCTCCTTCTCTCTCTCTCTCTCTCTCTCTCTCTCTCTCGCTCTCTCTCTCTCTCTCTCGCCTCTTTTCTTTTGTTCCTCGTTTTCTGTCTCATTTATAACATTAACTAGATAATATGTACTGTACCTCGCGTACCCGCGATACGCGATGGGTTTAGGCACTTTTGAACGTGTGTACGCACGCGATGTCAAACACCGTACAATGCTTAGCCCGTACTTTGCACCATCGATAAAAGTCTTATCCGTAACATTCCTCCGTTCTTTTCTATTATCGTGCACTATCGTTTCGCGCCGCCGCGTCATCGTTTCTGGCACATACCCGCCTAGCGATCCGTAAACACCTTCCTTGGAAGCTCGTTAAAAGTTCTGATTGCGTTCTGACCAATCAGCCGCCTATCCTGAGACGACTATCCGATCACGCCGCGTTCTGCAATTCGTCCGACAACAATCTATTTCTCTCTCTCTCTCTCTCTCTCTCTCTCTCTCTCTNTCTCTCTCTCTCTCTCTCTCTCTCTCTCTCTCTCTCTCTCTCTCTCTCTCTCTCTCTCTCTCTCCCGTTTCGTGTCCGCCACAAAATCCTCTCGACGGTCGAGTAGAACGGAACAAGGAAAAGAAAAAGAACGTCGTACGCTCCTACGATGTACGCTTTCTTGTTTTCATTCGGCAGCGTTTCCGTGTAAAAACATAATCGTGGATCGTAAGCATAGCGTATATCACAGACATCAGCAGCAGCTTCTGGACGTTTATGGTTGCAAATAATAGGTTCGAAACTGGAAGTCTCGGTATCGACGACCATCTTTTCTTTCGCGATTTCCAAGACCAGTTCTAGGCTGTACGTAAAAGGTTGTTTCCGGGGATGGTGGTGTCCTTTGTCGACGTGGCGTGTGTGGAGCATCTTCGTTCCCGTAAAACTATGAATTCGTACACTGAACATTTATGACAGAGAGCGGTAGGTTCGGCGTTCGATCGCCGAATTGCTATCGGAGAGATTATACATATTCTGTTTCACCGATGATCCTTATCGCGACTTCTCGTAGCTCGATACTTTTACTCGTTAGATCGCGCGCTATGATTTCACGCTATCGCTAAGGTCTACAAACAATTTGAGACGCGATCGGTCGGGCTGTCGCACGCGAATCGCGGATAGATGCTCGCTGGGTTGCAAACGATGTTTGCCCCGTAGCAGCGTCGTCCCCTTCGTTTCTACGCGAGTAATACAAAGATTGACGTTTTGACTTTGTCTTCGATAGAATTAAAGGAATGCTTCGTGTAATAGTCGTTAGTTTTATCAGTCTGTTGAGAATGTATCGCCGTGAACGTATCTTCAAAATTCCAGTAATACGCGACGAGCCATGAACCACAACTCAAGTTGGATACATTTACGAATTTTTTCTAGAAAAATATTTTCGCAAACTATCAGAGAGCTGTCCTTTACGCAAAGATTCGTAATGTCCGCGTAGTTTTCAATGAAATCTAATCCATACTAAACGCACGTAAATGTTAGTGGTCCCTGTGTAGAAAACTAACCCTGTATCGAATAGACTAAACTCTATCTAATATAGCAAAGAAACGTCACGTTTCAGTTACCGTTGCGCAATCAATCTTTGTATACCGTAACTAAATGCAGAAGTCGTCGTTAAATGGAAAAGTAGCGTAAAGGTGAAGCAAATCATTCGCAAGATACGATAATGTTGAAACGTATTACCATCTGTTCCGTGAAAGCTATTCTAATAAAAGTTAGACTTATATTTGTGCAAAACTGAGCAATACTCGTGAACCTGGTGGTATATCTATAATTCTGTTTCGTTCTTTATTTGGTTATTTTCTTGTCATACACATCAAAATTTTTGTATACAGTTTTAATTAATCGTTTCCTGATTTTACCACCTTTCGATAAAGACTGTTTAAAGATCGCATCGTTTAGCGTAGATAAAATTTCGAAGAACTACATTGACTGATTAATCTGAAATTTGTGTGTACAGGTTTTTCTTACGTACAGTAAATTCTCCTTAATTTTCCTTCAGCTTGTAAATAGAATAATTTGAGAAAAGGAGATACGATTATTCGAGGCTTCCACCTTGTTTTTAAATTGTTGACAATCGGCAACTATAAAAATGAGCCGCGAGGCTCGAATNATCGCCGTGAACGTATCTTCAAAATTCCAGTAATACGCGACGAGCCATGAACCACAACTCAAGTTGGATACATTTACGAATTTTTTCTAGAAAAATATTTTCGCAAACTATCAGAGAGCTGTCCTTTACGCAAAGATTCGTAATGTCCGCGTAGTTTTCAATGAAATCTAATCCATACTAAACGCACGTAAATGTTAGTGGTCCCTGTGTAGAAAACTAACCCTGTATCGAATAGACTAAACTCTATCTAATATAGCAAAGAAACGTCACGTTTCAGTTACCGTTGCGCAATCAATCTTTGTATACCGTAACTAAATGCAGAAGTCGTCGTTAAATGGAAAAGTAGCGTAAAGGTGAAGCAAATCATTCGCAAGATACGATAATGTTGAAACGTATTACCATCTGTTCCGTGAAAGCTATTCTAATAAAAGTTAGACTTATATTTGTGCAAAACTGAGCAATACTCGTGAACCTGGTGGTATATCTATAATTCTGTTTCGTTCTTTATTTGGTTATTTTCTTGTCATACACATCAAAATTTTTGTATACAGTTTTAATTAATCGTTTCCTGATTTTACCACCTTTCGATAAAGACTGTTTAAAGATCGCATCGTTTAGCGTAGATAAAATTTCGAAGAACTACATTGACTGATTAATCTGAAATTTGTGTGTACAGGTTTTTCTTACGTACAGTAAATTCTCCTTAATTTTCCTTCAGCTTGTAAATAGAATAATTTGAGAAAAGGAGATACGATTATTCGAGGCTTCCACCTTGTTTTTAAATTGTTGACAATCGGCAACTATAAAAATGAGCCGCGAGGCTCGAATAATCGTATCTCCTCTTCCCAAATTGTCCATTTTTGTTTACGAGCTGATAGAGAATTTTAGGAAGAATTAACTGTACCACCAACTCTCGCGTTAATAACAAAAGTGTGCGTTTACGATCAGCCTACCATACTATTTCTTTATTAATCGATGAATTACAAAATGACCGAAAAATGGACGAAATTTCAGATTTTGCTAATTAAACTATTGACCGTTTTTGTTCATTTAAACACGTCTTTATCGAGCGAAAGACGAAATTACGGAACAATTAAATAAATCAGCATACAAAATGTGCTATGTATAACGACCAGGTAATTAAATAAATTACTAGAAAGAATAATAACACAACGTGTCCAAACTATAGAGACAATTCACAAAGATTGCCAATGTTTGCAGCAGAAGCTACACCACTTTTGCACTAAACTTCAGAATAGAAGAAGGAGTGCTCTGTTATCGGTCAGTGTACCTCGATAATAATTGTCATTCTTCACGTCACTGGTTCGCGTGCGACAACCCAACGAGTGACGCTTCAACGCTAACCACATTGAGAACTGTCTACGTTCCTAATACCGGCAAGAGATAATTATCGGTTCGCAGAAAAATTGTGAGCACCATCGTAATAACGGGAACCTGGTCTTGGACGGAAGCGTATGAGGAAACGTTGAAAAAGGAGATACGTGCGACGAAATATACGTGTAGTGTCATCTAACGTTACCATTCTAACGCGGTACCTTATCGAGGACGGTACCGTGTCCCATGGGGGACGTTTCCGTGCCGGATGAAAACGGTTCGCGGAGCATCTCATTGCAATAAGCCGCCTCTGTCGTAGCTGACAGACTTGAAGGCGTCTTCGACCAAGTCTGTCAGACACCTGACCGCTTGCAGCAGAGCCGCGAGTAGCAGGGACAGCGAAAGAGAAATCAGTTTGCTAGGCATCAGAGCGTTCTCCGAAGTTTGACTTCTACTCGATATCTTCTTCCTCTTCCTCTTCTCGAAACTCTTGCCACTGGCAGTCTCCTTATCCTTCTCCTGGCTCTTGTCGCTAGAGACCGCGCCTTTTCTTGGCCTGGTGGGCGATTTATCTCGCGAGCTCGTGCTGCTCTCCGTCGATTCCTTCGCGACCCTCGTCCTCTTCGGATCGTTCGTCCCAGAGACCGTAAACCGTCTGTGCGAAGCTATGGACTCGATCCTCTTCTGCACGTCCTCCGTCTTCGCCTCCATGATGGTCCAGCGTTTATCGTCTATACTCCTTCTGTTCAAATTTTTGAGAAATTTCTCCCGCGAGGTTTGCAGTATTTCCTCCGACCTGGCCTTTCCCGAGAGATCCAACGCGTTGCCGTTCGCGGGCTCAAACAGCAAGTTCTGCAGGGAACTCTTCCCGGTATCCAGCTTGTCGGGCGAGCCCAGGTCCGGGAACGTCGAGTTCTTGTCCAAAGAGTTCGTCCTGTTGTGACACTTGTCGCGGCACAACAGCTTCTTCTCCGCGCAGGTGGTGTTCAGATTGTAGTCGATGGCCGTTGGCTCTTCGGGCTCCGATGAACACAAGCGAATGTTCTCCTTAGTGCCGTCAAGAACGATTCTTCTGGGCAGCGTTTTGTTCAGACTGTTCGGAATGAAGTTCACCGTCTTCTCAGTATAGTTCGATTTATCTTCATCCGGCAGGATCGTAGGCTCGTTCACAAAGTCGACGTTCGAACAGTGATCCGTCGATCCCGATTGGCTGGCCTCCGCTACGTTGGCTGTGTCAGGCGATTCGTTCGAGGGATTAGCGAGACCAGCGCCAGCATTGCCGTCTTCGTCGTCGTCGTCGTTGATTGTTAAGTCGCGTTCGATCCAAACTTGTTCCTCTTCGTCATCATCCTCTTCGTCCTCGTTCTCTTCTTCGGACTCCAGCGACAAGGATTTCTTCTGTTTGATCACAGGAACGATATCGTCGGTGTAGAGAAGATCCTGGACCTCGAAGAGGCTCTTCTCGATGCTCGGGGTGTTGTACAAGAGGTTCCTCAGTTCCGGTATATCCAGGTCCTGCACGTGGAGCAAGTTCTGTTCAATATTCAACAAGCTCTCCTCGATCTGAACCAAACACTGCTCGATGTCGCAGGCCGGTTCGATCAGAGGTTCGCTCTCCAGCTTCGTTTCCGTCGAACTGGTCCACGTGACGTTATCGTCGTCGTCTTCAACGATATTGATGTTCGCCGACTTGAGCTTCCTCTCCTCCGGCACAGAAGTATTGAACAGATGTTCCCTCCAAGACGTGACCGGCCAGCCCGACGATTGCGTTGCGTCCTCTTGCTGCGCGTGCCCATCGAGATACGCCCCGTAACTAGTGTGACTGTTCGCTACTTCGTAATTCGTGCTCGGTCTGCCGCCCCAGTTCAGCTGATCGGTGTCTGCGGTGTCTCCGAAGCTCCCTTCCTGATTGTCCGATGAAATACTGCGATTACCGTGACTGTTCGCCAACGAGTGGTTCGCCGTGTCGTCTCGATTCGCCTCCAGGAACTTCTTGACAGCGATGTGCGAGTACAGCTCGCTGTACTTGGGATGACTGCTCCACTCCCTACCGCTGCCATGGCTGTTAGCTAGCGGATAGGTGGTGCAGAGCTCCGGGTTCTCTCCGGGCTTCCTCGCGATTCCTTGCCTTCGCCTGTTGTAGATCGAGGAGTCGCCTTTGCCGTGGCTGTCGGCGTCGCCTTCTTCGTCGTCGGCTTCCGCAGCGCCTTCTGGGTAAGGAAGCTCTTGCGATTCCTCGAACGCCGTGGTAGGCTCCAAACACGCATCGTCTATCAGTATGTAGCCGTCCAAGATGTTCTCGTCCAGGTCGATCCACTTCCTTGGGTAATCCTCGCCCCATTTCTGCTTGTTCTCGGTGTCTTCTCGTTCCACGGACTGACGTAGCCGTTCGCGGATCGGTGGATCTTGCACGTGTATTTGCACCGGGCAGAGGACGTCGGTTCTCCTCTCAATGTCGCAGGTAGCTGACGGCGTGGTCGCCACCAAAGGCGCCACCTCGTCCAACAAAGCCTCTCGGGATTCGCAGTACCTGTATCCGGGGCATGGGGTGTTAACTGGAGAGTGTGAGAGGAGGTTCACGTAACCACCGACGCCTCTGCCTATGAGCGATCAGGTGGTCCTCGGCGAGCGCCGTTCGGGATTCATCGCGGAGTCCTGGCTCTCGTTCAGCGCCTCGTTGTTCAGTCTCGAGCGATTCGGAACGCAGATAACCTGACAAAAGGATACAACGATGTGTACAAAGTGTTATCAAAACGGATCAATATTTTTTTTTATAACGATCTATTCTGTTGAAGTTGCCCCGGAAACTTGACCGCGTAACATCTTAACGCTTTCGCTGCAGTTTCATTCATACAGTGGCCCACAAAAATGTTCGTACACCTTCCAACACACAATAACTATTTTAAAACTGAACTAAACGATTTGAATTCTTTTTAGATGATAGAGGGACTAGTCTACTACTAGATGATGGAAATGCTTTTTTTTAAATTTGCTACTACTTCGAATAACAAAAAAAAAAAAATAGAAATCTCTCGTTTTTTAACTTTTTTATCTAACGAAAATTTAAAAAATGTCTTTCGTGGATCTCGATAACTAACGATAAAAAACGGGGGTTTTTAGTTTTCTCTTTTCATTTCAAGTAATAGCAAAATTTAAGAAAAGCTTTTCAGCCATCGTCTAGTAGACTGGTCCCTCTATCATTTAAGAAAGATTCAAGTCATTTAGATCGGTTTTAAAAAAGTTATTGCGTTTCAAAAGCTGTACGAACACTTTTGTAGGCCACTGTATATTTATTAAGTATGTATTAATGTATGTATTAATTTATAAGCTTACGCCAATTTGTCCATGTTCATTGCAAGCAACGGTAATTGCAAGATAATTCTTAAATTCTTCTATAATATCTACATAATTTTGTATTTCATCGAATAATTTTGTTCTAAATTTATACAATCAACACTTTATTTTGCTTTCCTGAATTTTCATAAGCATTCTTTATCGGCTCTGATATGTAGATGCACTTTTTGTAGCACGATTAAGTACGTAATTTTTTCCCAATCGTTATAAGAATATCATTATATTATGTTGCATAAGCAGTCATTGCTTCTTATATTCTTGCCATTCAACATAACGGAAATTGCACAAGTAATGATGGAAATCATTTCCATTCTAAACTGGATTTCTTCAAGACCGATTGCTATTAGCCTGCGGATATACAGGGTGTCCCAAAATTATAGTACTTTCGGGAAATGAGGGGCCCTGAGGTTATTTGGAGTAACTTTTCCTTAGCGAAAATGCAATCCGCGATTTTGTTTATAAGTTATTAACGAAAAACACCGACAGCCAACGAGCGGACGAAGTCCAGTTCCACTCACTGGCTCGTATACAAAACGGCATATTGCATTTGCTCAGGAACCCCTCATTTACCGAAAGTACCATAATTTTAGGGCACCCTATATATCGATCGTAGAGAACAGAATCAAATGAAATTCTCTTTCATACACTACGATTTTCATGGGATTAGAAGCAGGAAAATATTTTCTTCTTAAACCTCCGTTACACACGTTTTTCTCTGCCCCTACTCAGCTTCAAACAACCTTATATTGTGACTTTAGTTATTTTGCGATTCGAAAATAGACTTCGTGATTGTCTTGTTAAACCGTTCGTATGCAAGTATAATTATAATCACTAGGGAGAATTTAATTGTGGCTCACTGTAAATGCACAGAGCGATGATTAACTAAAACTCATCGGAGATGGAGAAAAACTCCAAATCTTGTGAAAGAGTATGACCACAAATACGTCCAAAAATATCTGCGAATACGATTTTAACGCCTATATCGATATCAAAAATTATATGCAATTTTCACTCGGATTGTAGTTGTTACACTTCGTAATTGGACATCTTCAGCTCTCAAATAATCAATTTTTAACTATTCAAGACACGAGACATTTATAGCAATGTTACCGTTGCCAATAAGAACGTACAAGAAATTTGGACAAATTGAAAGAAATATCCCCGTTATTAACCCTATTGGTACCGTACGTCGATATGTCGTTGTTTACTGACGCAATTTTAGTATTCGGCATTAAAAGGGTTAACATAAGGCTTTACAGAATTTGATTTTACAGAATCTCAAACAGACTTTGGCGTTATCGTCGTCTACAACGTTTTTGGAAACGCTTATCTAACAAGAAGTTTAAGTAGAGATGTAAATGTACTGTTGGATGACTGATCTTGAGATCCCTGAATTCGTCGGTGAAGGTCAGAAGATAGATACAGAACGCTATGGCGCAGATCCATTCGGTGATTGTGCTAGCCACGTGCAACTCCCAGCCGCCGTCTTCTTTGTACCATTTCCGGGGATTCGTTCCTGGAATGGCAAGCGTTCGCGCATTCGTTAGCCGGCGCACGAAAAGGTAAGTCGTTGGGTAGGGAAAGGAAACGAACCAACCCTTATAGACCAGATGAGACAGCACGCCGGTGATTAGGGTGACGAAGAAGCAAACGGTGCAGAAGATAGACAATCCAGTTCGCAGATGCGCCAGTCTCAGCGAGCATCCAAGCGGATGTAGGTAAAACGTGCACACAGCCTGGAAACGAAACATATCGATTACTATCTATAGAAACGCGAGTTTTTATTCCGAGAGACGGTAACGGGTCGCGGATTAATCAGCCTTCTAGGAAATTATGCAAGACGAGTAGAACCGATTTCAGGTAATCTTATGCAGCAGCGTTGGCGCGTTATTTCTAGCTTATTCCAACAATGCTGACTGGCCGTTTTCTCTGCCCAGGGGCATGGCAGTACCTGACTAGACTGCGTACTCTGTGCATATTTCTCACAAACGAGTAGATGAAATGCAAAGTAGTAAAACATTTTAAGAATGCAGGGTATCTACCAATATGTACCGTTTGAAATAGCACCAGAACAATACGTTCACAAATTGTTCAAGAACAATACGTGACACGGCAAATATTTACAGGGACTTTTTTTCATCATTATACGAAAACAAAATTATTGTAATAAAAAAATGTATCTTTATTTCTTCAAGGTATTGTTCAAGAACAATACCTGACACGGCAAATATTTACAGGGACTTTTCTTCATCATTATACGTAAACAAAATTATTGTAACAAAAAATTGTATCTTTATTTCTTCAAGGTTATTTCAAGGTTACTTCGTGTTTTTTTTTCATATGGAATGCCATATCTTTGTTTTGCTATTATGAAAATACAAAAAGAAAAAAAGTTCCGTATAGATCTTTGACATGACCTCGAAATAATCGTAGATTGCCAAAAGGACCTTTCCAGTGAGTTCTACATTTCATGTTCAAAATATCAACACGTATGCATTGAGCGGTTGATTACAAGTGTACCCCTCTATTTTGAGGACAAAACTCATTTCTTCACTTTCTGCGGTTCGTTTCCGTTATAAAAAAAATACGAAGGAACAGAATATGGTTCTATCGAATTTAACCTTCGTCGATCGCAACAGGCTAAACCTTCAACAATGCAATGATTGTTTTAAAAGTTGTTCATTTTTATTCGTTTATTTATTTATACTTAACTTTTTTTTTATTCTAGACTCTCATACAATATCAAAACAAAAATATGGCATTCGATTTGAAAACATAAGAGGCCTTGAAATAACCTTGAATAAATTTGTCCTGTCACGTATCGTTCAAGAATTATATCACACGGCTCTTATTGATGAACACCCTGTATGTTGCATTACTTTGAACTTATTAAAATAACTAAGAAATGAAATAAATATTTCAAAATTTTTTTTTGGATATAAAACCTACGGTATAATGGTTGTCTGTGCTAAGAGGAAATTAAGCAACTCTTTGAAAAGTGTGTTGTTTACATAAAGCTTGTATACGGTCTTATTGTTTTATAAATGTGTATGTTTTATCATACATTATTGCTGTATTGTATTCGTCCCGAAATTTTCGGGATACCCGAAAGAGTCCGGCATTCTCAAAAATATTTGTGATTCACGAAAGTGCTGAGATTTCCAAAAATTTCAAAAATGAGAATACATGCCGGTTTAATATTCGTTTTGTTGCATATCGTCATGGTCTTTAAGATGTGCGAGGATACCAAAATGATCGGAAATCTCGAACTTTTTCAGAAACTTTTGCGAGAGCTTCGGAAAAAATTCATTTCCCCTCTCGACCAGTCATTTTTGGTATCCCACACACCTCTACTTATCGGAGTTACTCCCATTAATATTCGGACACTTTTTAAAACACAATAACTTTTTTAATGCTAGAACAAATGATTTGAATTATTTTAAATGATAGAGGGATTATATACTGAACAATAACTAAACTACTCTGTTACAATTTTGCTATTACCTGAAATGACAAAACAAAATAAAAGACAATCGTTTTTTAACTTTTTTATCTAGGCCTATAACGAAAATTTAAAGAAATACGTTTTGTAGATCTCGGTAAGTTATATGCATGTTGAAAATATAAAATACTGCAAATATACTGAAAATTGTATAAAAATTGTAAAAACTGCAAACGTCTCACACTTATTGGTTGAAAGTGTAAAAAATCGGGAGAAAACTGCGATTTTTGCGGTCTTTAATTGTTTACAGGTCGTACCAAGATCAACCAATTTCGATGAAATTTTACAAATTTTTAAAAATTTTCGTTACAGACTCAGATAAAAAAGTTAAAAAACGAAAGTCTTTTATTTTCTTTTGTCATTCTAAGCAATAGCAAAATATAAAAAAATATCATTCTAGTAGACTGGTCGCTTTGTTATCTGGAAAAAGATTTAAGTCGTTTCGTCCAGTTCTAAAAAAGTTATTGCATTTTGAAAAGTGTCCAAATAATAACGGAAGTCACTGTAGCTTCTATCATAAGCGAATTTAGAAGTTATTAGTTCGAGTACCTTCGAGTAGCTAGTAATTAATGTCATATTCATTTCATAGACGACATATAGGGTGTCTCAGCATCGGTGATACAATCTTGGTGGGGTGATTCTATATAAAAAAATAAATCAAAAGTAGAGAACAATATATTTTCAGTTGAAGCTTCGTTGTCGCGAAAATTGACCTTGAATATCCAGCATTGTCAACAATTTATGCATTAATAAAATAAGTTAGTAACCAAATCACATGTTTTATTTTCATTTTAATCCACTCTAAAAATAAGTAACAGCACATCGTGTCGATATTACTGATATTAGTAGAATTGACATCTAAATCATAGTTACGAGTACGCGTACTCGCTGAATATTTAAAATCGATTTTCTCGACAACGAAGCCTTAAATGAGAACATTTTTTTTCTTATTTTCGATTTGTTTTTGTATGCAGAGTTATTCCCTTCACAGTTATACCACTGATGCTGAGACACCCTGTGTTTTAGCAAGTAGTTATCACAAATTCGCATGTTCACTAGGTTTTAGTTAAGGTTTAAACGTGATTGTGCGGAACGGAGACGTGTTTCTAAAATTTTATTCTAGCAAGAAATCGTTGGGATATTTCAATAAATAAAAAATGTGTGTTTATATGCGAAATTAATTGCGAGATACTTCTTGTATTCTCAGTATTGCAGAAGAGAAGGCATTAAACCCATTAACCCTTCCGACCCTAGTTTTTTTATTGATATTTTAATTAATTTTCAATTAGATATTAATAATATTAAGCTATCGATTTTAAAAACTGTGCAACGATTTTGTAAATTGGGTTTGTGTGCCATCTGTTTTTTTTCAGTGGGACAATGAGACACATATGTCCCGGTAACGGTGAAAACTTCAATTAAAAATTCAAGAAAAACACGATATCGTGTTTGTGGAAGCGTTTTCCTTGGTCGGAAAATTGGTGTTACCGTAGACCAAAGTGACACAGAATGAGTAGAATTGATATGTTTTTCTTTTGTTTTATTAGTCTTGTTTTCTTGGTTTGCTGATGATTTCGGAATGTACAATTCTTCATAGAAATGATCTGTATGATCGGAATAATCGAAACGATCACATGATGAATATTTACTATGAGATGAATTGTTTTCATTATTTCCATAAATGTGCATAGTTTTATGTCAGCATGTCAGCACGTCAGCATGTACGGCGACAACTGACTAAGTAACAGTAGGAATATATTACGTAAACAAAATCTTTTCGCGACTCGGTAACTACCGCACGCTTCTGAGAACTGCCTTAGTGGCTGACAACGTAATCTGATCCCGGATCGGATTACGCTAGCGATGACAAAACCTGATGGGACATATACACCGGTGGACAAAGTATTATATAATAATAAGGCACCACAAGATTTTTGGGTATGAACATCTAACTTGTACCTATACGTGGAAAATAAATACACAACATAAACTTTCTTCTTTTTTTACATTAAAACCTTCACATTTTCCATTTCAAAATAATTTTTTACTATGCAAGCGGTATACACCAAGAGATACAAGAAAAGAAATTAAATTGAGGTTATTAATTTCAACATGAAGTTTACAATGATTTGAAACAAAATAACAGGAATACTTAATACTTTTATGGAGCACGTGATAGGTTCTCACTATTTTAATGCCTGCATTTTATTTAGAAGTTGCAGTTTTTAAAAGAAAAAAATTTGAAGAAGTGTCCCAAAAATGGGACATTGGTGGATAATGGGTTAAGTACACAGCACTATTCAAACGGCTTTGGATAAATTTTATTTTCGTCTTTCCTCTATAGCCGATACCTGCCCTTATTATTACTTTACCATCACCACATTGTCGGCAACTTAACACGCTTTGCTCCTTTCTTAAATCATGCAAATAGTATTTATACCCATCTGAACCATCCAAATCCAGTTTCTTTTTTTTGTTATCTGTGAATATAATACGTTTACACTGCTTTTTCTATTGAATATAGTCTATTGCAAAACTCAATCGCCTTGACGTGTCTTATCATTCTGTCCACTAGTGTATGTTCTAAAAACGCTCAGACACTTCATTCAGTGCTCAATAACATGAATAAAAACACAATAATTTGGAAATTGTTTATACGAAATGAGCACTTTGCGCTGTAAACTGAAAGCCTATGATTTGAACATTATGAAAAATTGCCAATTTATGTGTGTAAAAACGAAATTTTTGCCATTTGGACTACGCAGTTATAAACCGTTTCTAAATGAAAGCTATCCAGCATGTCGATATTCTAGTAATCGTCATTATTAGCGATCAAAAATAATAGTATGCAGTTAGACACGTTAGATTAGTAATACATATATGAGTTAATACATATATGTATTAACTTATATTATTATTAATATTATTAATATTGTTATTATAATTTATTACTATATTATTATAGTAGTTTTATATATTATTATAGTTATTATTAATACTATATTATTATAGTAGTTTTATATATTATTATAGTTATTATTAATACTATATTATTAATATTATTATATATATATATACATATATGAGACACGTATTGTCCTTTTGGCAATTAAAAAAGATCGCTGGGACGTTTGTGTCTCGCTGTGGTCGAGAAGGTTAAGGGCACGTGCCACACTACAATGTTGAAGAACAAAGTGAAAATAGAATGGTAACTATTTTCCAGGCGTCAATTCTCATTCCGTCCGAGAATTAATGGATTTTTAGTGATCATATACGGTAGCAGCAGAACGTGTTTGTACACTACATAAAAGGTCTGATTTTTGAAAAATGTTGAATTTATTCCACGTGGAACATTTCTAAANATATTTACTATGAGATGAATTGTTTTCATTATTTCCATAAATGTGCATAGTTTTATGTCAGCATGTCAGCACGTCAGCATGTACGGCGACAACTGACTAAGTAACAGTAGGAATATATTACGTAAACAAAATCTTTTCGCGACTCGGTAACTACCGCACGCTTCTGAGAACTGCCTTAGTGGCTGACAACGTAATCTGATCCCGGATCGGATTACGCTAGCGATGACAAAACCTGATGGGACATATACACCGGTGGACAAAGTATTATATAATAATAAGGCACCACAAGATTTTTGGGTATGAACATCTAACTTGTACCTATACGTGGAAAATAAATACACAACATAAACTTTCTTCTTTTTTTACATTAAAACCTTCACATTTTCCATTTCAAAATAATTTTTTACTATGCAAGCGGTATACACCAAGAGATACAAGAAAAGAAATTAAATTGAGGTTATTAATTTCAACATGAAGTTTACAATGATTTGAAACAAAATAACAGGAATACTTAATACTTTTATGGAGCACGTGATAGGTTCTCACTATTTTAATGCCTGCATTTTATTTAGAAGTTGCAGTTTTTAAAAGAAAAAAATTTGAAGAAGTGTCCCAAAAATGGGACATTGGTGGATAATGGGTTAAGTACACAGCACTATTCAAACGGCTTTGGATAAATTTTATTTTCGTCTTTCCTCTATAGCCGATACCTGCCCTTATTATTACTTTACCATCACCACATTGTCGGCAACTTAACACGCTTTGCTCCTTTCTTAAATCATGCAAATAGTATTTATACCCATCTGAACCATCCAAATCCAGTTTCTTTTTTTTGTTATCTGTGAATATAATACGTTTACACTGCTTTTTCTATTGAATATAGTCTATTGCAAAACTCAATCGCCTTGACGTGTCTTATCATTCTGTCCACTAGTGTATGTTCTAAAAACGCTCAGACACTTCATTCAGTGCTCAATAACATGAATAAAAACACAATAATTTGGAAATTGTTTATACGAAATGAGCACTTTGCGCTGTAAACTGAAAGCCTATGATTTGAACATTATGAAAAATTGCCAATTTATGTGTGTAAAAACGAAATTTTTGCCATTTGGACTACGCAGTTATAAACCGTTTCTAAATGAAAGCTATCCAGCATGTCGATATTCTAGTAATCGTCATTATTAGCGATCAAAAATAATAGTATGCAGTTAGACACGTTAGATTAGTAATACATATATGAGTTAATACATATATGTATTAACTTATATTATTATTAATATTATTAATATTGTTATTATAATTTATTACTATATTATTATAGTAGTTTTATATATTATTATAGTTATTATTAATACTATATTATTAATATTATTATATATATATATACATATATGAGACACGTATTGTCCTTTTGGCAATTAAAAAAGATCGCTGGGACGTTTGTGTCTCGCTGTGGTCGAGAAGGTTAAGGGCACGTGCCACACTACAATGTTGAAGAACAAAGTGAAAATAGAATGGTAACTATTTTCCAGGCGTCAATTCTCATTCCGTCCGAGAATTAATGGATTTTTAGTGATCATATACGGTAGCAGCAGAACGTGTTTGTACACTACATAAAAGGTCTGATTTTTGAAAAATGTTGAATTTATTCCACGTGGAACATTTCTAAATAGCAAGTAATAATCCGTGGGTCCACATACCAGGAAGATCCGAGGAATATGGTCAGACTTCCGGTGATATATGTTTTTACGTATTTTGAGATAAGACTAAACCGCACATCACAAAACTCACTACCGGCAATCCAAAATCTTATCTGGATTTCCTGTATTCTAGTGGTAAGACTCTTTTTCTTTTTTTTTTTTTGATTATTGAAAAATTTATTTAAGTTCTTACGTGGAGAAAATTCAACGATAACTGAGCAGGGAGCACGAAGCTCGTGAACCTAAAAGGAGAAGATTACATAGACGATCCTATTTAGTTTTTTGTATACCTCTCGCATCAAAGTTTGCATATGGAAGTGCGCAAAGGTTTCCTAAATGATCTGGTGGGCCATTCGCCACGTACCTGTGTCCAGAAGTAAGCAGTACCACCGCCGAAACAAAGAAGAGCGCCAATGAAATGCACAACGAGCACGGAAGTTTCTTGAAAATTGGCGACAACGGAAAGGCCGAAGGTAGACGTTAGGCCAAAGATTAGAGCCCAGTGGTTCCATTTTGGTAGAGACGATTGTAAACTGAAGACAGTCGTGCACTCCTTTACCTGGGAGTACCTTATGTAGACTACAAATGACACTGAAACAACAACAATAAATAAAGTGAGTAACATTAATATTCAGGTGCCTTTTAAAACGTATAACTATCTTATACATACGCCGAGCAATTTAAATTTACCGGGAATGTTAGATGGATTAGTTTTTAGTTTATTAAACAATGGCTAAAACATTGTTATGCAAAAATTGCAAGTGACATAACAAATTAGAAAGTGACGTATCTGAACCATTTAATCGAAGTCGTGAACGTATACCCGTGCTGAAAATTCCATCGAAATCGGCTGACTTGGAGACAAGCTAAACACTGAAAAATGTCAAAATTTTTTAATTTTTTACGCTAATTCGTCGAAAGTCAAAAAAAATTACGATTTTTTTCTACCTTTACAGTTTATAGCTTATAACGTCGTTAATCCTGTCATTTCAACTGGATGCAATTTTTGCAAGCATTTACTTATCCACTGTTTAGTACACTAGTCAGTCTAACATTTCAAAACATTGAAGTCATTTGGCTCAATACAAAGAGAATTATTGCGCTTCGAAAGGTACCTTGATATTAATATTACTCTCCGTAATTATAACGATATTGGATCAACCATTTTCAAGTTTACTATAAATCAATTATGAGAAAATTCTCCAAGGCATTTACTTAATTTTCATTTCCGTGAATGCATCTAATAAAACAACTATTATTTTCTTTCGAATATAATGTTGGATTTTCTCCGTTTTTCTGCATTCTACTAACTGAATTTCTACAAAACGACGTCTACGTGAATACTACATTATATTTCAGATCGTTATTAGACTATTTATTCGTACAATAAATTAGTTAGATAGCTTTACACATTCGTGCAAACGAGTCCAACCTTATTCATCCAAGAACGATCTGGAGATCGAACACTATTTTTACTTCACCGAAAGTCTCGTGTGTCCCACGCGAAAGCGAATCGAGGTCGCTAAACCATGTGCTGAGCCACGATCGATTTTCCAGGCCGTAGCAGACATCGAAAATTCAAATGTATCCGTGATGATAGACTCACTGAGCATTGCTAGCATGTTGATAAACTGGGCGAATATGCAGCTTTCCGGTGCATATGTTGCTGTGTCCGAGATGTAAGGGAACCCGGCCTCCACGTGGCCCAACAGAACCGATATTACATAACTACAAAGTAGAAACTGTGAGTCATTTGCTGATTGCGTCGACACCTAATGTAGTGGAACATGATAAATAGAAAAGGTAATTGAACTGTGCAACTACGCGTAGAAAAGGCAGCGGCAGATAAACACACATTTTGGAAATACTTCTCTGGTGGACGAGCAAAGCAGTGTGAATCAGAGTTATTAGCTGTAAAAAAAGCAGTATCCTCGTGTATTAGATTTTGGACATGAAAATCCATGACACACGTTCCGTCTCACTAAATTTACAATGTCATTTTCACACTCTACGAATATTCTCTCGCTTTCTGAAAACGATGATTTATTACCCCCCACCAGAGATTTATTTGTTTAACCATTTAATGAACAAGGTCGTTCCAGAAAACATTTTGATTTCTGCTCAATGTTTTCGAACTACGTCGCGTCCGATATCTGATGCGAATATTCTTATTATGAATGATAATGTCTCATTAATATGCCTATATTATGCATGTTAAATGAGTCTTGAAAGGCTCGAGTAAATAGAGATTATGACCCAGCAGATGCTAATCGAATATTTTATCTGCTGATACGACGAAAGACATTGGCTGTCTGTTTGTGAATTTTTCAAAAATTCTTTCGTTCGGACTATGTGCCCAGAAATATGGGCGTTTAAAATGTCAAATAACTTCCCGTGGCTATTGTCGCAGAATTACGAGCAGCATGCGTTCTACCAATGCGAAACTGCTTGAAATATTCGTTACGCAATTTTTGTGCAGAATTTGCAAGCAAAATTTTCTCAGTGAAATTGAAAGACAGAAAACACGCACAACGTGCATTCGCATGCCGAAGCCGTGCGCACAAACGCGATGGAATATTAATAGCGTTAAGTAAATTGTAAATTAATCGAATAAGCGTTTTAACCGAACTTTAACCGCTACATTCATGCAACGACACAAATTGAGTCTCGAGATAAGGAAAGTTGTAAATAAGAATTGAAGAATTGATTATCGATCAATGTCGATGCACTTGTTTTGACGCGAAGCCTCCTCGAATTTCACGCTTGACATTTTGACCTCTTCCGGGTTCCTTGGTTATATCGTACGTATTATCATACGTATGCAACCATTGAAGCATATCAATTGTAAACATTAAAAATCGTTGGTGAGATTTCTCTCAATTTTGTGTAACTGTATACTTTATCTCATTTTTTATTCTCAATTCTTCATTATTAACGGTCCCGCACCAAACAGTTTATATTTGAGTCCTTAGACATTTTTATTTGCGCCAAGATGACACACATGTTGCCTTTAGATTCGTCACGTTTCAATTTTTAAATAAATAGATACAGGTTTTTAAGGCGAGGCTTTGTTTACCTACTACACCAACGCCCTATTGCACACACGCATACATAGAAGAAACACGTATACGTATACGTGTTTTAAGTAACTCGCATGAGCAGTTCGGAAGTGGTAAATTATGTTTCCTGAAAGTCCAATATAGGTCGCGTCGTTCTTCAAAATATAAATTCTTATGTATATTATACATATGTGTACACGTGTTCTTCCATGAGTGTGTAACAGGGCATCGGTGGTAGTACGTAAAGCATCACCCCTTAATGTCTTTCCAATCACATCGTAGTAGAAACTCCAGAAATTTAAAACAACATGTTTAATATGTATACAACTTATTTTCTTATTGATACTAGTTAGAGCAACAATAATTAATGCCCGTTTGGATTAGGTACCAGCATGTATGTAATAATACAATAAATATTAGCAGTCTACGAGACTTATGAAAATTCTGCAAGTTCCAAGGTCTATTAGTAAGATTTTCCACGTTTATCAAACTTTCCTATTTTCAAGATAAAGTCGAATCCGCATTAAATTTTAAGCATATTGTGACCCTGTGCCACTTTAAATTGACAATTATGAGCTATATGCATTGATATAACTGTGAAACTCTAGGCAATTCTTTATCAATGAACCGTACCGTCAATATTGTGAAATTCGATCGTTATTACTTACAAATTTTATAAGATTCGAAGCTCATTCGTCCCTCGTATCGGTAACTCAATTTATGATGATAAAACAAAAAATCAACACGATGAAAAGATATAAATATAAAAAACCTTGCCAAATCTCATTTTTGAAAACGAAGGACCGAGGCGAAGTGAGATAATTTAACAAGTAAAATTAGCATCCCTCGCGTCTATCGGTTACTCGAAATCAAGATAAATCGTTAACAAATCGATTTAAAGTCGCCCTTTCAAAGTCCACTTAAGAGAGTTAACCGCGATTTACGCTCATGTTTTATCGATATTCGAACACGCGTTCGCTGTGAGCGCATAAACGCCACCATTCATTAATCACGTTATGATTTCCAACGAAAGATAGCGATTGCATCGATCGTCCGCTGCACGATCAATGCTCCGGTAAATAAAACCAGAAACTTACGTTACAATGAAAACGCTGGGAAGCGCGATGAATAGGAAGATCGGCAAATAATGTAGATTGATTAGATAATCTTGGTGCTCCATGGCGATAATGCTGCGCGTTCCTCGCTTTCGTTCGCTTTCCCGCCGGAACCACTGACGTCAGTCACCGACGTCCACAGTGCACGCCGCTATCGAGCAGACACACGCGTCGAAGCACGTGTCCTCGAGCCACGAACACTCATGCTCGTCTGTTCGAGCGGGCCGAACCGCTTTGCTCTGCCTTCTTTCCCGCGGAGCTAGCCGGTGCAACAGCGGCTAGACCGACGACCGCACTGCGGTTCGACTGCCATCAAGTTCCTCTTCGCAACACCTTCAATCAAAACACACAGAGCGTTATGCGGACCGGCCGTCGCGCCGAGAAACCTGCTCGTTCTATTATTGCCATCGTACGCGCTGGCATACTGCTTGAAACGGATCAAATTAGGCGAACCAATCGCCCGACGCAACATTATGGTTTCATTGATCCACCTGGGCAAAGGGTTTTGTTCGACTCTACCGTTCGAATTTCGACAGTTTCGAACGAAAATAATTTGTAGACAGTTTCCTGCAATGGACGCGTACAATATGTTCGAAGCTACCGTTTCAGGTTCAATGTTAAAGCGTTCAGATTATTAACACGCGAAGCACACGAGTTGGCAATCGTTCAGAGAAACGTTGTTTGGTATAAGAATTCACAATCTACAGTGGCGCGCGTAATTATAGATTCAAAGTAACTTTTACAGCGTTATCTAAACTCATATTTGTGTATTTCTACTTTCTGTAGTTCCTAATAGAGATTATATACAAATGCGATATTTCGTTGAGTTCTTTTTTTCAATGTACAGGGTGTTCCAGTAAAGGGGGTCACGCACATTGCTAGGAATAATTATAAACTCGAAGTAACTGTTAGTATATTTACCAATATTCGAACAAAAATTATATTCGTACACTTCTGTTTTCTATTATTTCTAATATAGAAATAAGCGAACATGGTGTTCGCTAAGTTTTTGTTTGAACAACGCTAAAAATGTAAAAGTTACTTTGTGTCTATAATTCTGTGGCTGCAAGGAAGAACGCTGCGAGTCATATGTTTTCACTTTCGAGACATTGTTCTCGATTTAAAGTTCTGATCACCACTGCTTCGTCTTAGCAGCGTTTCAAATTGCATAATCTGTTCGCGTTTATAGAATTTGTTTTCACGATATTTTTTTTTATAAATACCTAAATCCTATATACTGCAGTGCAATGAAAGCATTAATTAAAATTTGTTGACACTGTGTGACTCGCGGAGTCTTTCCTTACGGCCATAGAATTGTCTACGCGACTGCTGTCGGCACGGAATGCGTTGACATTTCCAAACGATTTGTAGAAGAAAAACGATGGACCGATTGCAGGAACGATTCCCACCGCGCAAATCTCGATCGCCAAGCAGTGCGTCTGTTTTCGTAATCCTGCACACGTGAAAGCGTACAGCACATTGAAATTATCCATCGTCTGCGCACGCACGACTCTCGGTGGACTCACCGAGCACGATTCGCACAAAACCCTCGTCGAAGTAGGCAGATGCCCCAAAACGAATGGCCAAATCTAGCCGGACGGACCACTGGCCAATCTAATTTCCTCTAACCGGCCGTCGTCGGCAGCCGAGCAGCCGAGAAACTTTTCGCATATTTCGCACGGCTTCGCTCGATAGCTCTTCTTCCCGAACGTGTACCAAAAACTCTACGCGGCTCAGCTGTTCCGCTGCGTGACGGCGTCGAAAATGTCGCAGGAGATATAATCGCACGTGCACGATCCAACCGCCAGATAAGCCCGCGCTGGAAATATCGCACGCGAGCCTAGGCGAGCCAGCCGCACCGAGCACCCAAACACAGTTGCCGCGACGATTCGTCGACGACGTCGTACGACACTGTAAGAAACGTGGCCGCGTCGGGCTGTGCGCGACGCATGCGAGTATTCTCACGCGGGCGTTGCCAAGTGACAAAAGGGAAGACCTTTTCCCGGCGAGGGAGCACGGTTTTACAGCTGTCAGCGGTGCGGTGTGCACGGCGCGCGGTGCACGGTCGGACAGGGCGAAAATAGTGAAGCTCGATGACTCAATGGGGGACACGGGTCTACGAGGAGGACTACCTTCTCTGCATGGGTGTACGGCCGCCACTGTAGGCTGCTTCGTCTCACTGAAACCGGAGAACCTCTCGCAAGGGTTGCACAAGGTTGAAGGTCTTCCTGGTGCACGGCTGTCGAACAGCTTGCGCACGCTGATCTCCCGACGACGATTCCCGGTGGCGAATCTCGACGACGATCCTCGCCGACGAGACGTTCGCGGAATCGAACGGGACACCGCGGAGATAATTCGAGGAGGTACGCTGCACGAGATTCCGGTGTTTCGGTCGGAAGAGCCAGGGTGAAGGGACAGCGGAGTTGCAGAGGTTATGGCTGACTGTGGCCGATCGATGCCGCGACAGCGAAAACGGCGCTCTCGGCAGCTGCGCCACGAGACTGACAGCGATGTCGTTACTGGCTGACGTTCTCCAAGAAACGCTTATCCTGATAGCTCCTGCGAACACGGCTCTGATACGCGGACCAAACGCTTATCGACATGGGCGCAGCTAAACGAGATAACTGCCGCACATTTTTCCCACGGCCGGCGAAGAAAACCACTTTACTTTCGACTCGGAACGGAGGAATATGGCTTACGGAAATCGAGCGGTTTCGGCTTCTTAAACACGTTCCTCGAACGTGACTGAACAAAACGGACCTCGTTTCTCGATGAAACCGATTCGAGATTGTACTCTGGAACGGGGGCGTGTCTGTTAATTTTAATTGGAATCGCGCTCGGCCAAAAGAACTTTGCAGTTTGGTTAAGGGTTCCGAGTTCCGATCGCCTAGCGGCAACGTCACGATCGTCGGTCGATATCTTCCGGTACGAATCGCGCGTCACGCGCAGATTTGCAGAGAGATGCTTTTCGGTTGGAGGATGCTCGAGCGGCACTCGCGGATAAATCGCGTTCGGTGACGAAGCGGCTTGCGTCTTCGGTCATTTGGAATGGAAGTGTCAGTCATCGCGATTACGGTGCTCGAGGCTGAGCCGCGCGGCGCTTTTGAGGAAACGCGCGGCAACGACGATACGAGTATCGAGTATCGCTGGCTTTATCGACCGCTAGAACGTGGAAATGTCGGCATCTGTTGGCAGAGAACAAAAGAAAACGGTTCGAAATTTACACTTGCGTGTGCGGTATTCTGCCCGAAGACGTTGCACGTTGGAAAATAATATTTTATTTCAAGTAATTTCGATCGACATATACAGTTTTCGTTCGGCATGAGCTTTTATACCATCCGGAAATTTCCATTTTCTTCATTTAAACGTTGCTTGAATTTTTTCATTTCGTTAGAAATTTCGTATCTCTCAAATCAAAAACTATGCAGCGTTAAAGCGAACGAACTGAATATTCTCGGTGATTTTTATTCGATAAATTTATTTATTCGAATAAATTCGATTTTGTCATTGTATTGATGTAATGTAACATTCAAAATTCTACAGAACAAAGCGGGCTTTATTGATTTAATATTCAATAGTCTCGGTGTGCAGTTATTCTAGATCACGTTGACACAATTCTTTGTTCGGCATTTAATATTTAATTTTGTCTAACCAATTATATGGAATTATTATACATGTTCAACTTATATGAAATAGATCCAGGACGTGTAAAGTGAGAGGAGACAGCGAAATAAATTGAACCGCGCAATTGCATCGTTTAAATCGTTCATAAAAGAATAGCTCAAAAGAAACATAACATATGAAATTTAACGAAGTAGTTCTCTTCTGACAGTTTCAAGATTCTTGGTTCTGCGAATCCAACTTCTGCAATATTTTTAGGTCAGGATCCTTGTCTAAATATATCAGCTGAAAATATTTCCATTATTATTATTAACAATTCATTTCATATTGTTCAGACTTGTCTTAACTTTTATACTATATACTTTATGTCTATATTAACAATATTTTAGTAAAATAAATATCTCAAACGTCGCAAACATTAATAATTAGTGAACTGATTCTTTCATTTTGTTTAATTGTAAAATTTACAAAGAATTTTAACGTAAGGTTTGCTAGTTAGTTTTGACATTCGGTACATGTATGAAATTTGTTATATTATTTTGAGATCTCTTTATTTTCCGCTTGCAGATGAAGATGCTAAAGTTTTTCAAACATCTACATCAGGGGTGTCAAACTCGAAAGCTGACTTGGGCCATAATAATAAATAAACAATGCTTAACTTTAGGTGGGCCGCAAAAAGGAAATCAATGTTCATAGAAACAAATATTTTTATTTTGACTAGTACATTGTAATAAACACACATATATAAAGTTAAATTATTGTTTACGTCCCGATACTTGACATCGAAAATGTTCATCTCGGGCCGCGAGTTTGACACCCCTGATCTACATACTCACATAATTTCATTTCTATAAAGAAAAATAAAATTCTGGAAAGATGTACCGTGACAACAGGATCCTCAAAATTGATTAATCGAAACTCCGGCACGAATGTTACTAGGAAAGCACAATAGACAATCACCAGAACCCATTCGGAGATAGCGCTAGCAACATGCCAACCCCAGCCACCATCCGTTGGCAACCATTTCTTGTAATCATTGCCTGCAGAGTACGGAATCGATGGCTTCAGTTATTTTCGCATGACAGACGGAGGGAAAATGTTACCTTGGAATTCCATCATAGACATGTAGCCGGGTGCGATTGTAGCTACTGTCAAAATCAATGTCAGCGTTGATAGGCCAGCACGGACGTAGACGATGATGGGTCCATTCACGGCTGGCACCATTTTGTGGCTTAAGTAGGTCTGGAAAATATTGAAACTAAGTTCTAAATAAAAACATTTCTTTAAACTTCATTCTCATAGAATTATATAGACACCAATGGAAAAATTGCCAATGGTTGAGTACTATTTTAATCGTTTACTAACACTAGAACTACAAAGCCCTAATTACGACTAATACATTGGATTGTCCGAAGTGTTTCGAAGGCAACATTTTTATATATCGCGATGTATTTATTTAATTATGTATGTGCCATTCTCTTCCATAACTTACAGATTCCATCCTCACAGAATTTCTCAGGTTATTCGTCGAAAAACTTTTCAAGGTGGTTTTTTTGTGTCGTCTGAAAAGTTCAAGTTCTTGCCGCTAAGGGAATTTTGCTTTGAAGACTTTCTTCTAAAAAAATTACCGAAGTTTTGCAAAGTTTTTTTACGAATATCTCGTAAACTAAACCCGGTCGCTAAAAATTTTGAAGGGAAATGTTATTCAGAATGATGACCTTGTCAACGCAATTCAAGATCATACAAATTGGTGAGAAGTAACTCTTTTTTCCATCGTCAATAGGCTACAAGATCTATGGAAATGAATTTATTCTAATCAAACTGTCTTGTAATCGGGAGTAACTTTTTTAAAATTGGGCCAAGCAATCTAAATTTGTTTAGGATGTTAGAGGGATTAGTTTACGCGACAATGGCTAAAGTTCTCGGTCGAAAGTTGTGAAAAACTGCGGTGTTCGCAATTTTTAATTGTTTGTAGCTCGCGACAACGTTAATCGATTTCGATGAAATTTTCATAAATAACCGAGATCTTCAAAATGCATTTTTCATGTTTTTGTTTTAGGCTCGAATGAAAAAGATGAAAGAACATGTGTTTTAATTTTTTCATCATCTCAATTAATTGCAAGTTGCAAAAACAAATGTTTGGTCGTTGTTTAATAAACTGGTCCCTCTAACATCCCAAACAGATTCAGATCGCTTGACCTAATTATAAAAAAGTTATTCTGTTGTAAAAGGCGTTTTCAGCCACTGTATGTACACAAATCCTTTGGTTTTAAAAATCCTGATATATTCAGACATGCCCCAACGCCATCGGCACGAACATTCCGGACAGCCCACAAACAATTATTTTATAACAATGACAAGAAATTCATTCAAACTTCGGACGATTTCAATTATGATTATGCTTCAGTAAAGAAGTCTATCAAAAAATGTCGGGAAAACGTCTATACAGGGTGTTCGGAAAATCGTGGTACAACCGGCAAGGGGGTGATTCTACATGCAAAAAATAAGTCGAGAAAGAGGAATAACATTTTGTTATTTAAGGCTCCGTTTTCGAGAAAACTGAGTTGAAAGATGCGCAGATTCGCGTGGCTTGTAATATGACGAGAAGTAGAATTAATATATCATGACCAGATGCGCCAGTTGATTCCTATTCAATAGTATTACTTCTTCAATCCAATTTTTCTCAAAAACGGAGCTTTAAATGAAAAAATGTTATTCCCCTTTCTCGACTTATTTTTGCATGTAGAATTATCCCCTTGCAGGTTGTATAATACCACGATTTTCCGAACACCCTGTATAATTCCAGTAGCTCTGTAGAAATCAGGAACCAGTCGTATCGAATGATTTGGTAGGTCTAGCGTTGAGCATTGTTTTTAATTTTGACAACGTAAATTGTTAAGAGACGCGTTGAAAAATATTTTTACAAAAATATGTAACAGATGTTCTTGAAACGTTCGTCTATGAAGGACTAATTACTTGTTCATCAGAGTACAATAAATTCACCCCAATTGTTTCTCAGCTTGGGAACGAAAGTGGAGATACGATTATTCAAGCTTTGCGGCTCGTTTTTCTAATTAACGATTGTCGATAACTATAAAAATGAGGTGCAAGACTCGAATAGAGTCTTATACGATTTTATGATTTTTTTATAATATGTATGTTTTTTGTTGCAAATCGTATGGCCGAATCCACTCCATGGGGATCGACAGTCGTGTATAAGGCACGTGTAAATATAATTTGTTGATGCAACTGAAGAAATTTGTAAAATTAGAATGCATTTTTGGTTGATTTTTCCCATGTTATATCAATATTAGCGGGTAAATGGTTAATGGTAATTTATATACTCTGCTTTAATATACCGTGAAATATTTTTTCTCTTTAATGTATATTTATTTAAATATATGACGTAGTAGTCGAAGTTATACTAGTGTTCGAATACTTTCGTTACCCACTGTAACTACGTAAATAAATACAGTAATTTCTCTCAGAAATGTTTAGAAGTCGAAATTAAAATCGGCAGATATGAGAATACTAAGTCGCGATTCTTCGAGCCTCGCGATTGAATGATGAAATGAGGTGCAAGACACCTCTTCCCAAATTGTCTATTTTTGTTCACAAGTTGAAGGACAATTGGGGAGAATTTATTGCATTTACTGGCATAAATACACATTCATACTTCAACTCCAATCAAATCATTTATGTGCACACTAAAGTTTTAACAGAAATAGTTACATACAGTCATTTCTCCCGGAAATGCAAAATTTTGGGTTGCTGTGAATGTCCCTGTGCTAGTCCTACACCTATGTAATTTATTGCTACGCCGATGCTAAGTGTTGACGGAGTCGGCCAAGCGTGTGATGCGGCACGCAACGCGAATTCTCAGAATACAACACAAAATGATCTGTTGGGTGTGAGTCAGGTAAAAAACACCGCGGAGCTACAAGGTACCTGGTACGTACTAAGTGTGTGTCCGTCAAATCATGGCATATGACCTTCGAATTGCCTTCGGATCGTGTCATGTGGCCTCCGAATTGCTTTCGAATTGTGGTATGTGGCTTCCGAACTGCCTTCGAATCGTGGTAAAAAATTAGAAATAAAAAGGTTGTGTCATCGTTTTTATTCTAGCATTACTATGTATTCATATTAACACGTTTCGTGCCACGTGTACCATCGATGGTACACGCTTGCATGTTTACTTAGTGAACTGAACAAATTGTTTACAAGAAATTTAGAACCGAAGAATCAATTTCCACCGCAAGAATGGGCGTTGATAAGTTTTTGTTACGTTGTTATGTGTACGAGAATTAATAATTGCACGTAATACATCAAGTTTTAGTAAAATATCAAAGTGTGAAGATTCGAGTAAAAAAAGCTCGGCACGGAACGTGTTAATGTACACCGGCATGCTGGTCGCTGCTTTTTTTGCCGACTACCCCGGATTTCTATCAAAATGAGCCGCGAGGCTCGAAAAATCGCGACTTAGTATTCTCATATCTGCCGATTTAAATTTCGACCTCCAAACATTTCTGGGAGAAATTACTGTATTTATTTACGTAGTTACAGTGGGTAACGAAAGTATTCGAACACTAGTATAACTTCGACTACTACGTCATATATTTAAATAAATATACATTAAAGAGAAAAAATATTTCACGGTATATTAAAGCAGAGTATATAAATTACCATTAACCATTTACCCGCTAATATTGATATAACATGGGAAAAATCAACCAAAAATGCATTCTAATTTTACAAATTTCTTCAGTTGCATCAACAAATTAAGATAACAATTTATATTTACACGTGCCTTATACACGACTGTCGATCCCCATGAAGTGGATTCGGCCATACGATTTGAAACAAAAAACATACATATTATAAAAAAATCATAAAATCGTATAAAATAGAGATAAAAACACGAGAGACATCTATTTTAAATAAATACTTATTTTTAAAATGTCAAACCTTTCGAAACATACTGTTAAACAATAGAGGTATAAAATTAGTGATAAAAATTAATAAAAAGATATATTTTTATAACGTTTCGACTGAATTTTATAAGGCGTTCGAATACTTATGTTGCACGAAAATTCGATGTTTCTAAATATTTTTTTAATTATGTAGATAACGTTTTACACTAAATCGAATGTTTGTTGTATTTTGTCATTTATACAGGGTGTCCCAGGTTTTCAGGTTCAAACTTTGTCAGTGTATTCTATGGCACAAAGTAAGAAAAAAATGTTATGTAGACATATAGAGCTTTATTAAGAAGTTATAACAAAAATTC